GGCAAGCTCTGGCACTGCTTCCCATCGAGATTCTGAATAGCAAGCGCGTGCATGGCGTACTCCACCACTCACCGAGAAATTTCTTGATTCTCGAAATTTCTCTACTGAAAAGCCTTCATCAGTTTGTCCAGACAACTTATCTTCAATGATAGCTGTTTTCAGAAAAAAAGTCAGCTATCTTGAGTGGTTCAGATGTTTAATCACGAACACTTTTTCCCACCTAATACTTAGTTGCCGATCAGCTGACTAGCATCGTTGAATTAAATAAGAAGTGCTCGTATTCTGCTGGCGTCATCACTTCCATGCCTCCTACTCCGAATGTTTCGGAATTCGCAAATCAGAAGGGCTTCTCAAAGGCACAGTTAACGACGTTTTTGAGTTACCCTTTACTTATAGTATATACTTATGCGGCTCGTTTTTATTCATGTGCGAGCTTCAACAACAAACCATTCGCATCTAGCTTCCGCGATCGCAACCCACGCAGTATCTGACGATGATGGCGGTGTGGGGGATCGTTTAGTTGCATACTCATGCTACCCTTTGCAAAGTAAAAAGAGGTAGTACTAGTGCAGAATAGTGCATCGGTAGCGAAAATAATGAGTCGAAGAGGATTAAAATGGAGTAATTGGTTTGGAAGGGCCATTTGGGCGAGACTTGGAAGTGTACAGCTGCATAAAGAGCGGCTAAAGTGAGCAAAAAAAAGTGACAAAGTCGTCTCCCACTAATGAGGGGAAATCATCGAAGTTTTTGCTACTGCGACCTTCATTTGCTATTCTCTGATTTTCGATGTTAATCTTATCCAACATCCCCAAGGATGATATTATCTGTTTGAATTTTCAACGTATGGTGCTCTCTTATGATGGTGTTGCCTCTTCACCGCCACTAAAACACGTCCGTCTTTGGATGTGGACGTCGACGAGTCTTCGGGTTGAACGTCGACTAGCAGGTCTCTGAGCACTTTTTGCGCCCTATGCAGGCCGTTTTCTGACCCGAGAAGGATCCTCTTGGCATATATGGCAGTAAGGAGCTTCAGAAACCATACCTTGCATCTTCATCTTTCAAGTGTTTTGTGTTGAACAAACTCTAGACTCATCTCCATGCCTGGAAAGATTTTCGTTCCCGGCTTCCTCTACATTGAGAAGTCCTTGCTGAAATTTCCAACACTTCTAGATCCACACAAATTTTTACTCGTAGTGAAAATTCCTGAATGCGTAAGGAATACTACCTCATCAAATCAATTCTACTTTTCTGCAGTGTGAAATTAACGACGCCTCCCATTACTGAGGATGAAAACTGAGTAATTACGAATATGGAAATGATTGCTAACTCTCTTCAGATGTAAAGTTAATGTTCTTCAGATTTGTATTGAATGTCTCCACAGACGAAAATTGGTTCAATAAAGCACTGAAAGAGATCGATCCCAAAGGAGCCGCTCTCGGCACTTATGTAAGTTATTAAGGTGAACTTAATCTTCTATCTTACACACAGGAAAAGGAATTAGGAGTTGCTCCCGAATCCCCAGTTTCCTGCAATTTCGTATTTTAATGAATAAAGTATGCTCAGATACAGCTCTAAACAGGATGCAGCGCCGTGTCGGAAAATTTCCCGTTCTATTGCATATTTATAATTGGATGTGGGAAGGCCGCTTCCCACGCAAAAGGGCCTTCACATGGGAATCTTTTTGACATGAAAGGTCCTATGTGTGGGGCAAAAGGACTTACTATAGTGTATCAGAGAAATGTGATTCACCATTCATTATGACAAAACGACAGTAACGAAAATTCAGTACAGGCAGCAGTAATTCGGCTGCGGGTCCTAGCTCGATTGAGCGCTCGGCGTGCAGTGCCTAGGTCTATGTGAAATCTGAGTACATTGCATCTTATTTCACCGTAAGGTCACTGTAATAACCCAGTGCCCGTAGAATTGTCGTTCCTGTAGCCGAATTGTGTGCGGAACTAAATTAAAATGGAAGTTTTCTCGTGCATATACGTTACAACTTGCCCCTATTTCCGAATACGGAATACAACATAATATACTTTTCAGATTGGTCCATACAGAACACACAATGAGGAGTTCGTCAAGTATCAGTCATACTGTTTTTACAATCCTGACTCCGACATCTGTGCTCGCATGGAGGTGAGACTTATTCAAAGCTTGACATTCAAAGAGTTCAAGTAATGTGTGCAATATATAGCATTAGCCAGGTTGAACTAAATTTAAATAGATCTTCGTTTGCCTTGCTTCGGAAAAAGGCAACGACTGTATTTTCAGCCGCC